GGGCAAGTTTGAGCCTTAATTTTTGAGACCCTTCCTTTGGAACTCCAAAGTGGCCCCTATAGGGATAGCCTTTGGGGCTTTTGGAGGGTCTCCTCTAGGGGCCATTTTACTCACCCCTACAATAAAGCTTGCAAAAGTTGTCCCTATAGGGGACAACTGCTAACAAATCTAAGCGAGGAAGAATTTGCATGGAAAAGCTGAATAAATAAGCGTTTTGAAACAATTGAGAGACCCCCTATAGGGTCCACTTGATCTAAGGGGTCAGACCCTAGTCCCCTATAGGTACAGCTTCGAAATCCCTAATTCTTTCGAACAGAAACATTTTTGAACCGTACTTCTTTACATTATCGAGAAATTTCAGTCAATTTGAAGCATAAAAAAACAGTTTTTCTCTGAAAAAAATTCATTTTTTTAGTCAATATAAAGCTTAAAAGCGGTTTTTTTCAACATAATCCTATTTCAAAGCCAATTTAAAGCATTAAAATCCCGTTTTCCTTTATAAACAATTATTTTTCGAGTCAAACAGGAGCATAGAATACAACTTGAAAATGACCAACTTCCACACGCATAACAGCACAGCGGAGTTCGTGTTGCTCCTTTCTGATCTTCTCCATTTTCTCCCTTGCATCTCTGAGCCGTTCAGTATACTGAAAACCCGCAAAATGAAAAATAAATGCAACTTTCAGGAAGACTGAAATATCGAAAATTAGTTTTTTTTTTTTCGAAAAAAATTCTGAAACTGCGTGTTTAAAACTAGCCTCAATATTCGAAAAATGCCTACAACTATAAAAAAAAAAGATTAGAACGATTTCAAAAAGAATAGAGATAGGATGGAATTTTTTAAAAACAAGAGTCTATTTTTTTCGAGCTACAAAAAAATGGCTATTTTTTTCAAGGTACAATCAAAAAAATGACTTCGGTTATCATGGCGTCAAACTGTTCAGCCGAGTTGACGTCCAGGATCTTCAATTTAAGATTTTCCTCGCTGACCTAAAAAGATACCATTCATTTTTCAAACTGGAATTTTTAAAGTTCTTCTAGAAAAAAATTGATCTAGCCAACAAAAAAAGGTCTCAAAATCTTTTCATTTTTCAAATCTTGAGAAAAGGAGAGGAAAAATAAAATTCTCATACTGATAAAAAAATTTTTCTGACAAGTTTTTTTCCAAAGTTTTTAACACGAATTTCTGTATTTTCCAGCATAAAAACGACTCAAATTTTCGCAAAACCCACAAAAAAATTCGGATAGAATTGCAAAAAAATACATGATTTTTCGATCGATTTTTCTTTTTCAGATCTTGAAAATTTGTAACACTGATTTTTTTCTTTTTCTTGAAATACTTTCTGTCAAACTCACAAGTGACTTTATCGCCTGGCCCAATTGAGGATAGACATAAACCATGTCTTGCGAGAGCGCTCTGAGGGAGAGCGAGCGAGACATTCAACGTCTCAGAGAGCTTCAAAGTGCAAAAGTTCTTGAGAAAAGATATATTTCGTAAAAATTTGCAATCTTTCAATATAATTTTTTTCTTGATTTTTCAAAAAAATTGAATTTTTTTGAAGCGAACACATTATTTTTGGTTTTTCGCGCGTTTTTCAAAAAGAAATCAGTAAGATAAAAAAATGATTTCATGTTCAAAAACAGACATGAAAAAAATTTAACAAACGAATGGGGAAAAAAATGAGTTTAAAAACCCTTGTTTAAAAATTATAGTTCATTCTTCAAAATTAAAGAAAGTACGTTTCTCCCACAAAAAAATATGACTAATAAAAAAACTTTTTAGTTTCTAGAATCAGTTTTTTTCTCCACAAAATTTTTTTGAAAAGAAGATTTTTTTCGTAAATAAATTTGACGAAAAAAACAGCTTTTTGCCAGTTTTAATCAATTTTTCTGTCTACAGAATTTAATGTCAAAGTTTTTCTGAATTTAAAGAAGAAAAACACTTCTAAGTCTTTTGTCCATTTTTTTAACCCTGGATAGTTGGTTTACCATGGTCTGGAGCCATTCCTTGGTCTCATGGTTTCTATGGCGCGGATTGGTGTGACGACACTCGCGACAAATTGCCCACGACGAAAACTGAAAGAAAGTTTCTCTTTTCATTTGTTTTTATTTCGGAATTTACCGCTATTTCCAGATTCCGCGGATTCTTTTGCTTTGTAATATCTATGATGAGGGCTGTTTGGCATTGGCTGGAATTTGAACAAATTTGAAGTTCTCGCTGATCGACTTCCCTGCCGCATTCATAGCAGCCGCGCTGTAAAAAGTCAGAAATGATTTTCAAATATTCACAAAAAAGGTCCCGAATTGGGCTTATTGGTGAGTTTCAAGGTTGATTTTCGAGTATAAATTGGAAATATAAGTCAAAATGTGCACAAAAAAAGAACTAAATTTCAACGTTTTTTTGGTGAATTTGAAGGTTCATTTATCACAAAACCTTCTCAAAAATGCCTAAAAAAATCAAAATAGCAGCTACAAACTCTTAAAAAAAACGGTTCCGAGCCAAAAAGCACTGAAATCTTCTCATTTTGATCATTTAGAAAAGAGGTCCCAATTAAAATTTATCTCCAGTTTTTTTAATGCGGTTCCAAGGTTTAGGATCTCAAAAAGCTCGAAAATAAGATTAATCATTAAAATAAAAAGCGCGACGTCCTATTTTAAGCTCAAAATATAGAAAATCGATTTTTAAAAAAATCTTCATTTTTTTCTTTTTTTCTCATTTTGAAAAAAACGTAACTTTTTTTCAAATCTCTATTCAGATTCCACTCCCAAAAAGAGCCTTTTTTTCAACAGATACTTTCAATGTATTTAGATTCCCGACAAAAAGCCACCTTGCTGGACTCCAGCTGGTTTTTTTCTATTTTTTTCGGGCTCTTTTTCATCAGCAACAACTGCCCAGTGATCAATATTCTCGTCTGAAAAATGGTAGTTTTTTTAAATTAAATCTTTTTTTATATTTTACTGTTGACGGGAACGACGGGAGAGAAACGCGCCGGATGGTGAAGTGCGGTCTCCGAGGTAGGAAAAATCCAGGGGAGCTTGAGCCGATGGAGGATTCCGGTTGACCGTTTCTGTTAATCGAAAAATTGGATGGTAGGACGAAAAAAATTTGATCCGCAAGAATACGTCGCGTGAAAAATTGCGACCACATAACCTAAGAGCCACGAAAATTTCAAGCCTTCAAAAAATTTTTTTCGTAAAATTTTAAAATTGCTCAGATGATGACTTTTTGAATTTCTTTCTTTTCCTTTTTTTCATTTTTTCCCTTTGTTCTTGATATTGATTAATTCCAGAGCTAGAGCCACTGTTTTCAGTAGGTTTCTAGAAATTTCAATCATTATCATCAATAAGAAGTCTGTCATTTTTTGTTATAAACATGGAAAACGTATTTAGTTGACAGATTTTGAACTTTAATGATTTATAGCACAAATTAATTGGGAAAACAGAAGAAAAAGAGTTAAAACTCGAAATTAGGTTTCAAAACGTTATCAAATCCTGAAATCGCCGGGATATCTCAACGCAGAAATGAGAATCCGTACTAGAGCACAAGTTTGAAGAAGACCAGAACAAAGAAAAAAACAGAAAATACAGAAATTGAAAGCCTTATATGCAAGTAATTTCTAATTTAAATGGACAAAATTTTAAAAGGCTTAAAATTTTTCGTGGCTCATAAGTTATGTGGTCGCAATTTTCACGCGACGTATTTTTGCGGATCAAATTTTTTTCGTCCTACCATCGAAAATCGGATTACTTTCAAGTTAAATCGATAAATTTTTCATTTATTTTGGGAAAAATGCAGCTTAAAAGGCTTTCGCCATTTAAAAGTCTTTTTCAAAAACCCAAAAACCGAAAAGCAAAAAGAGAAATCGGCCACGAAAAACGAAATTTCTCTGTTGAAAAAAATACTTTTTGAAACTTCAATAAGAATCGTTGAGCAAAAACAAATTAACGAAAAAGGAAAAATAATTCAAACCATCATTTCTTTTTCAAACCTTGCATTAAAACTCTCTAAATTTACAAAATTTGCATCAAAAAAATCATCAAATCGATCTGTTTAGACTGAGAATTCTTGATTTTGAAGGAAAATTGAACACATACCGTATTTCTAATCGAAAATTTAATAAGACAATCGATTTAATAATTTCAAATGTTCTAAAAAAATTGATTTGAGATAGGCGTATGTTTTAAAACAATGAATATTGAGTTCGTTGAGCATGGATGAAATGCTCAACGAACTCATTTTTGGGGGGACAAAAAGTCAGATCGACAGGGAACATTTCCTCACCCTCCCAATCGGCGAGTTTTTAATAGCAATTCCCTCCGTAATAATGGCAGCCGTGTCGTGTCCTGAAAAATACGATTTTAGTTTTGCAAGAACGGAGAAAATGAAAACCGTCATCTATTGCAGTTGGATCCTCATTTGACGGCTCTCCAACGGCTTCACAAGCAGATTCGGAGAGAGTTGGCCGGTTCGTCTTCTCTAGAAAATGAAAATTGGCCGAAAAATTTCGAAAGAAAAAACCTTGTCCCGGAACTTTTGCATCCTTTCTCGGACGTCCCCTCACACCTTTTTCCTTTCAACTTCTCTGTAAAAGCCAGCTTTAAAAAAACAATATATTTTTAAAAATATTTTTACTTGAAGATATTTTTGTAATCCTCAAACGTTCCAGAACACTTTTTTTGATGCGTCTTTCTGGGCTGCATGAAGAGGCCAATTTCATCTGTTCTGAAAAAAAAGCTTAACCATGAAATAGTTCAATTGAAAGAGAAATCTTGACAAAATCTATTGAATTGAGAAATTTTTGAAAAATAAACTTGAAAAAAATTTTTAACACATTTAAAAA